TATTTTATAAAGGGATAATTCCATCCTTTCACCCAAAAAAATTAATTTCAAGGGAAACCTTTGGGCCTATGAAATTATTTTAAATTTTATTAGGCCTTCAATATAAACTAGTAAAATACCCATGCATAAACAAGTATACAACTATATTTTTAAATAGATGTCAATTTTGCAAGAAAATCTTTCTTAAAATAATAACTTATAACATACTCATCTCCATGTTATCTTATATGTAGTGGGGCTTTGTAATTATTATTAACAATATTAAAGAAAATACAATCATTAGTTCCTATAATTTTATTATATTTTTCTTAGTTCCTGTAGTTTTTTTAATGTTTCAGACTAAAAAGATTGAAATTATAGAGATTAGAGTAACAAATGTTACCCAATCTTGTTAAAACTATATAGATTTAAAATATTGAAAAAAATTATAAGAACTAAAAACAAAACCTAATAAAATTATAGAAACTGATGATTGTGTTTTCGCTTAATATTAAATATGCATATTAGAGTTTAGCAAATAATAAGAACTAAAAGCATATTATGTAAATGGGTATAATCGAAAGTAGATTAATAAAAATTTAAAATTATTTAGATCAAATTATTGAAGAATTTCCTATAAAGGACACTACAAGTTCCATCTATAGAACGATTATTTTCATTTAGAATCAATATTTTTAAACCTCCTACTTCTAACATGAAAAATAGTAACGTATAATTTATTGTGAGTGATAACAAGATAAGGCAGGAACAAACCAACATAACACAAGCTCTAGCCCTAACTCTTATTAATAGTCATTAGAAATGTCAACATAATGGGAAAATGCCTCCTTTTCATAGTAAATGACAACATGAAATTAGATGAGCATATAGCAACACATTATATACATACTTTCATTCTTACATTTGATTCAAACATTTATTGAACCTCAATAACATGTTTTTCAATTTGTGTAATTACAAGACATGTATTATTGCACAACCCCATAGATTTATCAATGTTCTATATTAAAATAATTGAGACACCCACTTTGAATCTTATTTCATGATTTAGAAGACTTGACATTGCAATTGAATTTAAAAACTTTGTAAAGTACAATTCCTTGAGTGAATTCATATTCCTATCATCTTTCGTAATACTATCAAAGTTTAAGCATGCAACTTCCTTTTTAAAGAGTAGAGACAAACACATGTCCATTTATTTCTTCAACCACAACTAGTGCAAGAGCTAATATAGACGTATTTTTAAAAAATGAAGAATAATTTTTGTTTAATTTTTTCATTAATTTCTTAATTTATATTATACCCTTGCCAATTTATTGTAATTGGTCATTCTTCCCTTCTTAGGGTGAGCAAGAGACATGCAACTTAGTTAATTCACCTGTTCTTGGTTAAAATGGGCGAGCAAAAACCCATCCATTGACTAGGAAAATGTGGACAACAAAAATGGGCTAACCTATTAAAAATTAAAATAAGTGACGAGACAAGGATGTTGATGACATATTACCAATAGTAACGTTTTTATCTATTACTATTTTAATATCTATATTACTAGAAAATCACGATAAGTTTAATTTATTTAAAAAAATTATTCACATTTAACTTAAGTTTGAAACTATGGGAATAATTTATCATCAATTTATATAGTAATATCAAAAATACTTTGATAGAAATGTGTTTTTAACTAAACAACTTTATGTAATTTGAAATTAATTGGTTATAATTTAACATATATTCAAAGTTTAACATATTTTTTAAAAATTTGATAAGAATCATACCCTTTCCTTCCCTCCACTAATATGATGAAAGAAGAAGATTTAGCATCTAAAGAGTAAATTGACCAATTTACACTATGATAGTATTGACCGTGTATTACAAATAATAAATTTTTATCTACTGCCATTTTATCTTCTATATTATTTGAAAATTATGAGATTTTTAATTTTTTAAAATAATTTTATTCTTAGTTAACTTAAGTTTAAAATTATTGTAGTGATTAATCACGAATTTGTACATTAATATTAAAATACTTTGATAGAAATGTGTTGATCATTAAACAACATTTTAACGTGATTTAAAATTAATTGGTCGTAATTTAACATATATTCAAAGTTTAACTGGAAAAGTATTTTTTTTAAAATTTGATAAGAATCATAGAATTCCACATCCAACAATTGGTCTTCATTTTTAATAATAATAATAATAATAATAATAATAATAATAATAATAATAATAATATTATTATTATTATTATTATTATTATTATTATTATTATCCCAAACAAACTACTACATAATGAGTATAGTAAAGATCTAAAGTGTTATTAAATATTATACAACATTTTCTTGCCAAAAAAATCAAGAAGAAAATGAATAAAATAAGAAAAAAATATTTATAACTCATAAGGGCATATTCACAGCACGAGGTTTTCAAAATTTTAATCCCAGTATCAGCAACTTCTGAGCTTGCAATCTCTACCATTAATACCTTAGTTTTTAAACTTTAAACACAAGTGGCCCTAAGGTCATACACCCTCTTGAAGCTCAATATTTATTGAATACTTAAATACTTAAAATTAAATAAAATAATTTGACTACATAAAATAAGAAGTTGATTAATCAAATCTTTAAATACTTAACATTATATTTTAAAGTATATTTAGCAAATGTACATCTTGTAACCATTCTTTTAGTTTATGTATATAAATATTTAAAAATTCAGCCTAAACTTATTCACAAACCAACCGCTAAATCTTGCTTCCGAACCATAGGATTACGTGTCTGCATGGGCCAAAAAATATTTTTCTCTCTCCTTTTTTTAACTTTTTCCCATTAATATCTTAAAGTACACCATACCCTTATCAACTTATTCCAATTCACTATTTATTTTCTCCACTAACATGATGGAAGAAGAAAAAGATTTAGTATCTAAGAAACAAATTGTTCAACTTAAATATGAATGATATTGATGGCATATTGAGAATAGTAAATTTTGTCTTTTAATATTTTATTGTCAATTATGATATCGATGGAATATTTACAATAATAAATTTTTATCTATTAATATTTTATTCCTTATATTATTTGAAAATCACAATAAACTTTAAATATTGTTAAAACTTTTTTATTCATATTATAATTAATTTATAAACTATTGAATATTAATATTAAAAATTTTAATATGATTTGAAATTAATTGGTTGTTATTTAATATATATTCAAAGTTTAGCTGGAAAGTTTTCTTCCTCGACAACAAAAAATTTGACATAAATTATGGAATTTGACCCAAAATTTGGAAATTTTCATCCATGCAGTTGACAATATCAAAAAAGGAAATAAATAGGGAAAATGATAATAAAATTTATTTGAAATATATCAATGATAATTTAATCTCTCAAAATGTCATAATTTTTTTAAAATTTTTAAAAACTTTTCTATCATTAATAAATTTACATAAATTATCAAATTACCTTATTAAAAATAAATAATTCATAACTTTTCTTCTTATAATCACAATTTTTTTCTTAAATTCACAACAATGCAATAAAAAATTATAATTTTACATATTAAATTTTTTATTTATTGTTACATTGTTATGAATATAAAAAGAAAACTTATGAATCATTTATTTTTAACAAGTAAAATTTGATAATTTATATAAATTTATTAATGACAGAAAAATTCTTAAAAACTTCAGGAGAATTATAGCATTTTAAAGGATTAAATTATTATTTATATATTTTAAAAGAATTTTATTATTATTTTTTCAAATAAGTATATACTTATGATATATACATAATAAACATTAAAATACTTAATATTATATTTATCATATGTAAAATAAACCAAGATATATGTATTATATTACAAAAAATTGGTAAAAAAAATTATATTAAAAATTATTTTTAATACTTATTTGTATATTAATTTATAAACTTTATTTATATTATAATTTTTGAAATTAACTATAAATTTATTCTAAAATTATAAGTATCATTTTTTAAGAGAGAGAATATATGAAAAGGGTAATACTAAAAAAATATTATTAATAAAATTTTATTTTTATTAAAGGGTCTTATATTTTAAGACACTAAATCTTCCCTAAAAATATCTTATAATTTGAAACAGAAGGAGTAGTTAACAATATAATTTTAAACTCAAATAAATATATGAAATAAAAAATATTTTTCCCAATAGACAAATTCATATTTTATTATAAATTATGCATTAAATTTTTCAAATGGAGTATTTATTATTTGATTTAAAAAAGGGACATAACACAAATCAAAGTACACGAAAAGATCAAAATTTTCAGAAATCATCATGATAGATCTAAAAATTTAAATACAAATTCTTTTTTTATTTTTAAATAAATAGATATTACTTTAAATATATATATATATATATTATATGAAGCTTAATTTTTGGAAATCATTAGAATAGATTGAAACTCTCAAAAATTAATAGGATAGGTTGATATTTCAAAACACAAATTCTTTTTTTATTTTTTAAATAAATAAATAAATACTAATTTTAATTCAAATAAATAGATATTTTGAGAAAATATCCTCCACAGCACGTCGAATTATATTCATATAATTTGATTTTTTTTAAATGATCTGATTTGAATTTCAAATAGATAATATATATATATATATATATCAGTAACAACACATTTAATATATATATATATATATAATTTTATTTTCAAAACCAAACCTATCAAGAAATAATCAAAATTTAATTTTTTATACATATAAAAAAATGATATCGGAACTTAATTCCAAACCTGAATATTCTATTTTATATACATATAAAAATAATAAATCATTTTGAATCTAACTCAAAACTCAATTTGAAGCATAGAATTACAGAAAAAACATCTTAAAATACAAAATTACAACAAACCAAAAAATAAACATATGATATTCATATAACGTATCATCAATACATATCAACAAATCTCATAAAAATCTTCTAATTGGTTGATGGGAGCATAACTCTAATCGTCTCCTCGTCTCCATTAACTATGCTTCTCCGTTCACTGCTCCTTCCCCATGCGTTTTCGTGTCTCTCAATGCTCAATGTCTTCAAGAAATATCAGGCCTTTGACAGTTCATATTTCAAACACTTTTTCTATTATGTCATTGTTCTTCTTCTTCAATTTCTTCACCTTCCTCTTGCTATGTTTTCTAGGGATTTTCTTGCTTTCACCTCAAATTCAAAACCTACTCAATCAATCGCAGGGATTTAGAGTATAACAAATTCATTGACGAATAATGATCTTGGCGATGGCTGATATGAATTTCAACAATTCAATGTTGTATCAATTTGTTGGTGCTCGATAACTCGATGTTGCATTGAGTCAGTGGTGCTCGATTTTGAAATCTCTTTTTTCAAGGGTGAATATAGCTTTTTCTTTTTCATTTTTTTCATATTTTTTTCTTTTGTTTATCTCTATGGTAATGATTAATGTTTTTTTGGCCTTGTACAGCCTTCCATTTTCAGTTCATTCGTTTTGCATCAAAGATTGTCCTAGGTTTGTAATCACAGCTGAAAAGACTTGTGATTTCTTTTATCAAGTTGTTGAGGCTGATTTTAGCTATGGTGATCGTGATGTTTAGTTTACCATTTTCAAAAAATGGTATAAGATTTAGAGTTGTGAGGAGATTGGAAGATGTCCTAAGAGTTTTCCGATTTTTATTTATTTGTATAAGATGACCATGTGGAGGCACGTGAATTGTTCACCAGAAGGGAATTTGCAAGATGACTGGTTAAATTAAATTCTTTTCTAGAATGGTTTGTTCTAACCAAAAGCATGAACATGCACGATAGTTGGAAATGTTTTAAACGCTGGTGAAACTTTTCTTTTTCTGTGATTTTGTTTGTAAACGGATTTCTTTATGGTTCACAAATCCAAAACCCAAGATTACCAATAGTTACACTCTTTGGTTCATTGGTTACTGCTTTTGATGATATCAAGGTTGAAGACACAGATCTTGTAGCCATTCAAGATAACAAATGATTGATTTTTACTCCTAGAATAAAATCTATTTTTTCCGGGCAGAAGTTTCATTTTTCCCCCCTCAATTTGCAATTAAAGCCTTGGCAGCTGGTGTTATCCCCGGCAAATTATCTTCAAAAAGTTGCTTCAATTCTATTGTACTTGAAGGTTAAGAGAACTTGAAATTCTTTCGTGATAGGTAAATTCATACCCACCTCTTTTCCTCATTAATGAATTTCTGTTTTGCTAATTGCTTTACTAAGTATATGTTGTTTTTCAATAGCATAGAATTAATTATTATGTCACCTTAATTTCTTAACATTTAAGAAATAGGTTTACTTGTAGTCACTTTTTATGGACATAAAATGTATTTTACATTTGAAATGAGAATGAGATTCATAAATTGTCCAAGCCTAATGCATGCAACAATTAAGCAAGAGTAAAACTAATAAACTAACGAAATCCAATACATTCATTCTTTTGAAGTCTCAATTGATGAACAGCAAAAAAGTAGGTCACTGTGAACTTAGTATAACTTCATTTCTTGGAGAGGTTAATGTAGGTATAAACCTAAAGATATCACAAATTAATTTACCAAGGACCTTTTTATTCCCACTAGACACTTGATTTTCCTGACAAAGGTAATTATCAAGCTTGTCAATTGATTTGATAGCTTAAATAGGTTTAGTGGTGGTGTATCATAGGAAAAATGAGTGTTCTGTTAGACTCATTTCATTCATACAAGATTCCTGGCTTCTGAATTGTAGCAATAGTATAGGTATACAGATCATTTGACCAGGCCATTAAATGTGCCAAATTTTTGTTTCTTGACTAGATAATTATTTCACTATCACACCAATCATCCTCCCTTCCATTGTAATCATCTAGCATTCATTGTTCTCTGTTGGGTTTTAGAATCAAAGTATTCAATTTTCCATCATATTTAAATCATATTATCTCTTTGTAAATGGACGTTTGTTTGGGGCGTGTGATGATATTTCTTTTTCACAAAGATTGCTAAAAGTATGTCAAAGGGAATCATGGTAGTTGAACACGACAGAGAAGATTGAGGCAACTGGAAAGAAAAAGGAGGAAGGGATATAATAAGTATATTTCAAGGCTGCTAAATATGGCAGAGCATCAAAAAGATATAATAAGAAGGTATATTCACGAGTGTCACTGTGTATTAGTAGTCATGCAAGTTTATATGTATTATATTTGAATTTCCTTTGGAAGATAGACATTATTGGACAACGATGTTTCTCTTGCAATCATTTTTCTGTTCCTTTATTTTGATTGTAATTTTCTCCATTATATCATACCAGCACTGCTACATGATTTTTTTTTAAGGGAGTTTAGAGGTGAAGAAAAAATTTCCCAAGCTTCTGATTAGTTTTGATCTAGGTAGCTTTACCAATGAAATGTTTGGAATCAACTATAATGCTAACGATTTTGGTTTTTTGCAAGTTGAAATTACAAGTTTTGCATGTGAAAGTTTTTAAGATTCTGATTACTTTTGCAGATTGACTAATGAGTAGAGAGCAGCTATGGTGACTATTTTCGTGTCTACAAGGTGATATTCTTTAGAAATACAATGTGTTTGTTTTGGGGACACTTATTTTGTTCTGTTCAGGTTGTGTTAGGGGAAAATGGTCAATAAATTCCTAATTTACTGGATCTTGAAGATGCTTAAAGACTAGTTGTAAGTAATAGAGGCAATTATCTGAGCAATGGCTTGGGAAAGATTGTTAAAGAATCAAGGAAGATTTGAAGACGTTGTTGTCACAACTATCTACTGCTAAAAGCATTGACCTACTAGTAAATTATTTGACTTCAGGATTGTCTGTAAATAGTGATGAAGCTAAGACTTTTCATGCTTCATTTAACACCTTAAAATTTCATATTGATTTTTTGCAAATTGACCATTCATTAAAACAAACTTTGAATATTAGACATTTCAAAACATTTTCCAAGATACTATTATGGAAAATAATGGATAATGGGTTACCATGATAAAAATGGTAGGATTTGATTATTTACAAACTTTAGTAGAAAGGAAGTTATTATGGTAATTAAGAATCAAAATTATTGTGATTTTCACAAATTTTATTATGGTAAAAGAGCTTATCTTACTAAAATATTTTTCAAAAGTACTACTATAATAGAAAAAAGTTTGCCGTAGTGGAAAAGATTAAATATAATCAAAAGACTTACCATGAAAATTTAAAAATCAAATAACTTAATTATATAGATACCAATAGCAATCTATATTAGATAAAGTAAACCTCAATGGTTCATTGAAAAATGATTATGTAATGCTCAATGTTTTGTTTGAAAACTCAAGACTCAAAAGAAGCATAGTTCTTAGGGTAGCTTAAATCCAAGATCATATAAACCACAATTAATGAATGATTTTAGAATGGCAGAAGGATTTTAAAATATATATCCCCTATTATTTGTCGTAACATTTTTCTTAACTTGAATAATGATATTTTAAAATAATTCATAATGGCCTCACTCATTACAATTTTTTTCTAATTTTTGATTTAATATCATATTAAAACAAGTTCATCATACATTTGTATGTCATTTTTTAAATTCAACCCGTGCAACGCACAAAAAATCATCTAGTTTTTACATATATAATGATATGCTAATTCTAGGGCAGAGCAAGTGTCCCCAAAAAAAAAATAGCATATCTGAGACCAGTGACCAAAGTTTGCATCCAGCCCACGTCAGAATTTGTCAGTACTTTTTATGTTAACATTGGTATTTTTCAAAAATTCCAAATTTAAAATAATTTTAATACATTTTAAATATCAAAACTATTATTAATGAGTGGTAAGGTTAGAGATTCTTTTTTTATCAAGGGCTAAAATAATTAAAATACTTGGCAGCCTAATTTCCCCCCTATAAAAGCTCCTTCCTTGAACTCCAATGGAGGAAGCCTTCTTCCCTTGCATTTGAGGGGAAGAATCTATTTCAAAGATTCTCAGGCAAATGACAGATAGGTTTAAAAAAATTATATTAATGATTATTAGGTCCTTAATAAAAAATTGTAAAAATTAAGTTATAAATATCAATGCATATATAGTTACAAACAAGAATCACAATTACATTTTTATAATTACATTTGAATTTTAGATGTCTTGTCTACAATTAAAATTCCTAAATTTAGAAATGCTTTATCAACAACCTAACTATTATTAATTTAATATTTTAAAACTTAACTACCATTCTCTCTTTTACAGAGAGAAACATCACAAAGGTAGCCTACTACTTTGCGCCCAAGAGAAACAACCCCCCCCCCCTTCTTTTCTTCTCTCTAAACACCAAACCACCGCTCATGTGGAACAGACGCAAGGTTAGAATAACCATTCCCTGTATTGAAAGTGTTCCTACTGAATGATAAATTACAATAAATCACAATAACTTCCATAAACTTATGATTGAGATTATACAGCTAATATTACAATGATGTGTCCTTCATCAAAGAATGCCTGTAGGGAAAGGCAAATGATTAGAAGTGAACAATATTAATTATTTCTTTTTAATAGGAAGGGAGAAATAATCCTTTGCAAGCTATTACTCCGCAAGCAAACCACTCTTCTTAACTCTGACTATGCTGATCCTAAAAAGCATTCCAACTCTGATATACATCTCACAGAACTAAAGCAAAATAAAAGAATATCTCTATATGCAGCATGTTCCAACACAATCAGCGAAAGCTACCTAAATCACTAGGAAAAGACCTCATGAATCCAAAAAAAAATACAAAAACTCATCATCATATATCTTTTATGTAATCCATCATGCCTACCTCTGAGTTTCGTATCATATATATGCCCTTTACACCCTATCGTCGAAGAAGTGAATCAAATCATTTCCAGGCAAACAAAGCGACATTTCATCTGGGCTTTGCATCACTTCCCTTGCTTCGAAAATTTGAGAGGGAGAAAAATGATCGGGGAGCTGCATAAAATGAAATTCATGTGTAAGATACAACTACAATGTTGTGAAAACTACAAAAATAAGTTTAAACAAAATAAAAAGGTTGCATCTCTGAATATTGATGAAAAGACCCAAAACATGTCTGATTATGACTCCTCGGTCATTAAAGATAACTAGCATCTGCTGCCCCTTTACCATCACAATCTGTGAGACACAATTGAACGCCAACAGGTTCCCCTCTAAAGTTTAAACTATGCCGGCATAAAATGAGACATATCGTACACGCATCACAGATTTGAACTTCAGCTAGATTAGGTTATCCAGGTATCACCTTTTAACGAACTTCCTGAAATATGATCATCCCGCAGTCTGAAATGAGCAGGAGGTGCAGGGATAGAGCTTCGCAAGGATTGGACTGCAAGGATTGAGAACCAGTCAATTAAGGAATTCACTGATACTAATTCCTTAAACCAAAAATGTGAATATTTCTAATACGGAACATGAATTACGCGTACAACACTAGCTGAAAGCAAATGACGAGAAAGCCTCTTTAAATGGTGTGCAAAGTTTTGAGCGTGTTAAAGTGCGATTCAAACTTAAAATGTATAGGATTGATTTCGATTTATAATGGTGTTAACCTATGATCACTATATAGTAAATATCAATGGAGTTCCAGAGATGTCTTTTAAGAAAATATTATAAATTATATCTATTATCTAATCAATTGTGAAGTATGATGGTAACTTATATAACCCTTGAACATGTTGAATCCTCCTTGATCCTACATCAACAAGAAATAAACAAAGCGTGGAAATGAGAGATCGATACAATCAGAAATTGATTCCTCCAATTTCAAATATCGACACAATACAGATCAGCATTTTTCCTGCTTTATTCAACGCCTAGAAAGAATTATTTTATCCAAACGTGCAATCTAGGATTATAATTGAAAAGAAGCAACCATTAATAGCAGGGCAGAACATAGTTGGAAAAAATAAATGCACAAAGACATAAAAGTAGAAAATTATTTTGAACTTGAAACATGTAGGAAAAAACATGTAGCTGAGCGACAAGAAAAAGTATAGGTTACCCTGTTCGCTGAACAGCTCACTTTCATTCAAGTTGTCATCAGAAGGATGACCATGAGAGAACCCATTCTTGACTTTCTCAAATCTTCTGATGACCGATTGGCAGAATCCCGGCCATCTTCTGTATCATCATCTCCTTCAGATGTTGTAGCAGATATCCAATCTGGTACCAAGCTCTCTGACCCACGATTTTTCCTCCCAAACTTTAGTAAACGTTTAAAACCTTTTGTGACATCCTTGCGTGATTGATTATGGGATGAATTAGAAACAAGAATAGGTTTCTGAGCACTTCCCCATTTCTTCCTCATTCGAGCTGCATCAGTCTCACCTTGGATGAGTGAGTGGGAATTCCAAGATGCAGGGCTTCCAAGAGGAGAGTCCATAAAAGCATCAATGTCAGAGGACTCATGTGGATAAGAAAATGGGTGACGTGTGCGTGAGTTCCAAGAGACGGGGCTTTCAACAGGTGAGTCCTGCACGGATCCTGCACTGTTGAAAGTTGATGGCATAGTGGTAGGCATTTCAGCTACTGAACCAGGGTCTCCTTGAGTGAGAGATCTAGCAGAATCTCCAATTTCATATCCAGAATTACCAGATTTATCAGATTCCTGGCCCTGTCTCACCTTAGTTTCATTTGCATATGCAAAATCCTCAACAGCCATGGATTCCATTCCATCCTCTACATCTTTAGACATTTCTGCAGAATCTTCTGCCTCAAATGCCAGTTCATCAGATCTTTCATTTTTCTGAGTCTCAGATGCCATTGAAGCTTTCATCCAAGCAGAACTGAACCCAGCACCAGGGCCTAGATCAATTTGCTCCCCATCAAATTGCAATGGAGCCAAAACAACACCTTCTGAGCCAAAAGGAGGCAGATCTTTAAACTCTAGAGGACTAGCAGAACTTCTCTGCAAAGACTGAGATCGCTTTGGCTTCTCATCCTTGACACCGGGCATCTCTTCATTGGCTACTCTTACTCCGGGCATAGTTCCTTGGCTGAGATCGGGGAGCTGTTTTACTGACTCCAGAAGATGGCTTTGTGTTTTCTTTTCTAAGATCAGAGAAATTTGGAACAGACTGGGCAAGAGGATTGTCTCTTCTCCTACCAGAAGTAGAGTTAACAACCTTGGCTGATGATCGTGAAGCTGATGATGCTGTTGTGCGGGTAGATGAATACAAATTTCTGTTAGGTAAATTTTTTCTGTTTTGTTTTGAAGCACCTTCCCCAATAGTTGATTCACTGAATTGTCTGGCCTGCCCATATATTTTTTCTTCTGAAAAATCGGATAGATTTTCATCTTCTTCATTCTGAAGGGAAACTATTGGATGCTGTAAAAACGATGGAGGAAATAACAAATAATAACCAATACAGATATCAGCATTTCAAATATCAAAACAAACTTTGAATTCTAGAAGGTTTAATTTGATCAAGCATTACCAAAACCATTGAAAATAACTACCTGCTCTCCCTTAATATTCAATTTGAAAGAACTAAATTTCTCAGCACGTTGATGATCACTAGATATTGGAACATGTCTGTCTATAGAGCCTGAAAACTTGGCCTTCATCTCAGCCCTGCTCCACTCTAAACTATCTTGAATGGCCTTCATCCTAGCTTCCTTCTCTGCTCTGCTAGAACTCCATTCATCCCTCAGTTTAGCATCTCTTTTTTGCATGTACTTTTCGTAAAATTTTCCTCTAGAATCATCATTGAAGTTGAGATCTGAGAAACATTGCCTCAGGGTATCACCATAATTGTTACTATCCACCCTCTTAGCAAATGTCTTAGCATCAGAGTTTGCTACATTGCTAGAACTCCTAGTCGGTTTAAGCGTTGTATTTCTGGAAGGAAGTTGAGGAGTTGACTCCA